TCATCGTTTTGTTTTTTCTTCCAGCTGGCCGTACGAAGGGAACCAAACACAAATACGACAGTTGAAGAATTGTTGCTTACCTCATATAAACGATAAGAACCAATGAAAATGCAAATCCTTATTTTACCGTAGTCCACGTATGTCCTTTCTTCTTTCATTTGATCGGTGACTATAGCAGATGAAATAGAGAGAGAGAAATTGTGTTTCAATCTTTCGAATTCTTTTCCATTATTTTCATTATGATCTTTCATTGCAATATTTTAGTTTTTGTATTCATAACATAGTAAGAATTTTTCTTTTAATTTATTTAAGTCGACTCTAACTCTATCGATCTAGTTTTTTTTTTCAATAATTATTAATTGATAATATATTCTGAGTACCTATTACTACTTGATCCATGAATCTATGAAAAAATTTTTAAAAACAAAAGTACTATTGTTATTCGAGTAGAACAAAAATCGAAACGATAATTTACGAAATCTAATAATCTTGCAAATATTTCGTCTCTCTTTCAATCTTTTTCTAATATGAGTCTTGAATAGAATCAGCAGATTAACATGTGATGTTTTTTGTGAACTTCCTAGAAATTCGTTTAAATACAGGTATCGGAGATGCAGAGATATATACAGATATAGGGAAAGAATGATGGCGAAACACATTGTAATGCTCCCGGTTAAGTGCGTATTATGCATGAAGTTTGACCTATCCTAATTATTCCTTCTCGTCTTATGTATTGTCCTTATCTTTCTGTCATTACTTCCTACATCATGTTGCACTTTATCCTTCTCTTCCTTTCTTCTATCTGATGAACGAGTATATAAGTGTATGCTTTGTATGGAAACGATGCGATTCTTGAGAAGAAGAATATAATAAAGTGTAATTCTACCAGTGCTAACACTTCTTCCATCGGAAATCGTCACACTTTCTTCTTGTTTATGACATAAAACCATTGGAAAATCTGTCTGGACCAGTATCAGCTATTTTCATATTCCCAATTTACGCATCTATAAGAATAAAATGTTTTGTTTTTCATCAAAAAACACCGTGAATATTTCTGCATCGAATAAGAGGATGGTTTAAGCATTTATGTAAGAAAGCTAATAACACGGTTTAGAAAATCGATCTGGAAAGTTATGGAAAACAGTCTCGTGTATATACATTATACTTTGCACTTTGTGCAGAACAATAGTTATTGGACTTTTTCGCATCATCATGTGTTCTTTGAACGTCAAATAAATGTGCGCTGATATACGAAAAGAAAAACGAGAAAAGTCTCGTTCTGCATGATTGGGAGGATAGATTAATTTTACGATTCAACTTCTCAGCATCTCAGATAATGGTTAGATGACTGAAAGTAGATAATGCAACTAAAAAACTCAATTTAGTCTATTTAGAATTTATGAAACAAAAAAAATATTTGGCTGAATATCTAATAAAAAATTTCTATCCTATTCTAAACGATATCATTTGACAGAGAACTCAATAAGCTTAACAACAGTGCCATATCCCTATCTTGTACAACTCGCATTCGACGAATAAATATATAATTGATCTAGTACGATGAAATCTTTTCTACCTTCAAAGTAAGTTGCGGAAGAGCTTTCGATGTTTTCCGTTTAAAACTTTTTCCAGTCTTTGAAGAAAATATTCAATTGAGTTCTATGATGTATTTTTTCACTAGATACTTTACTCTTTTTAACAAAAAAACAATGAAGTCACTTCGAGGGTGTGAAGATATGGTTGTGAGGTATTGGTGTAGGTTTGGCTTTAGTTTTATATTCTTTCTGGCACACCCATACTCTTATTTAATAACAGCGGTGTCTTCGCTCATTTCCGTTAATATTTATTTCGATTTTCCGCTTTATCAGTGAAATATGAAATACATTTATGTTGTGGTAGTTTGTCTCACTCTCGAATAGTGATAGTCTACTTTTAAAGTAGATTCTTTGTACTATGTATTAGATTAAATCGATCTGATATACTAGTATTTGCCACTCGAAAGGCATCCTGCTTGCCAGCAAGCCGAAGTTAAAAAGAAAAGTATCGTCGACCACTTGTTCTCTTTCCTCACTGCTGCTTGCACCACATACTATTTTTCTTTTTACTCAGAGATCCATACTCAAGTTACACAGTACAGGTAGAAAATGAATATTGTTTTTTTTACATTTAGATTCATATCGGTCACGTGTAGATGGTAAGTTACATAGTACAGAAAGCCAATGAATGTTGTTTTTTTTTAACATTCAGATTCATATCGATTACATATAGATAGTAAGTTACATATTACGAAGAAAAATTGGATATTTTCTTTTTTTTTTTTATCTACTTAGCTTTATATCGATGAAGCATAAATGGTAATGTGTATGAAAAATAATAAACTACTTCTGTGTGCATTTTAGTTCTTCTCTTCGCGCCGTTCTAAACAAACTCACTACTCATATTGCCATTAAGGTTCTTGTGAACTCGAAAACCTGTAAATCGTTTCTAAGATTAGCATCCCATGTAAAAAAAAAGTGAAAAAAAATCATTTTGACGTACTTTTAATATTAATAAAATAAAAAAAGTAACTTTTTCTTACTATTTTTCACTTTTTCTAGTGAATTTCAGTACGTTTCTTACTTTCAGAATTACTTAATAGTACTTTCTGGATATCCGAAATATTTTATGTTACTTTTTATAGTTTTCAAAATACTGAATAGTACTTTTAGAATTTATAAAGTATTGAATATTAATTTTCAAACTTTTCAAAGTACTTTATAGTATTTTTTGCATTTGTGGAATATTTAATATTTATTTTTATATTTTTTAAAGTACTTAATAGATCTCTTAGAATATAAAGAAGTATTTGATAGAACTTTCTGTACTAGACAATTAAATTATAATGGTTGCTCATTTTCGACTTTTAGATAAATAGAAATCGTACGAAGTATTATGAATTAAATACTACTTTAAGGACATTCAAGTAGTTTTTGAACGCAGTAGATGTCTTGCGTACTTAAAATCTATAGGTACATAAGAGTATTCTATAGAGATTATTAGGGCTGTAGTTATTTAATACGATATATAACGCGCGATAGCATTAGTCAGTTATAGTAGTGAATGGCAGTTTCCCTCTTGTAGATATTTCCCGTTCAAAACACTGAAATGCTATAAACAAATTTTTTTCTGATTCGTGAAGTGTTTGCTTTAGATAAAATTGAGGTAAAATTTGTTTAAATGAAAAAGATTATAATATCATAAAGTTGAAAATCCAACATTTTATATGAATTATCATGTAGCTTCATCTGATAAATTATTAGCTGCCATTAGTGTCTTATTAGATTTGTTTTCCAACACATAACAAAAAGCAATGTATGCTTGATATAATAGAACTTTTAATGTCTATAAATAATGACGGTGCCGCATGTTTATTTCTACAGAGAACTTGTTCGAAATGACAATGGAAAAATAATAAAACACGGTTAATGACTAAAATCTTTTTTATATCCAAAATGAATTTAATAGCAGAAAGTACTTAATGGCTAGAATTTCATCTTATGCATCTTCCTCTCTTTAACAAAAACCTAAATTGTACAGTTTTAAGTCACGAAAATTACGAGTACGGTGTTTATGTAGAGCTCGAATAATGATTGGTACGCTGTCTGAGTAGAGCGCGAAAAGTTACAGAATTAGCGTTTCTCAGGCTGGCGTATAGGCGCACATGCAACAGTCAAGTTGGTCTACAGACTAATTGATGTATGAGGATTGAGGAGTATAAAAGCACGATGTTCGAATCATTTCGCTTCATTTGATCGAGAAATGTGGTTCGACGTAAGTACTTTTAAGTATTTTTTTAAATAATATTATTTAGTGCTATATAACTTTTATATTTCGAAGTGTAATGTAATACCTTTTTGATAAAAAACTTCGTTTGAAATTATACAGATACCGTTATAGGAAGGATAATGGAGACTAAGGAACTAATATAGTGAGCTGAGACAGAGTTTTAAGTACGCATTACCTTTTTACATTAGCTGCATCGATACATTCGAAGTATATCATAGTAATTAGTTGCTGAGTCATGAATATAGATGTATAGAAACATGTACGAATGTCCATTTACGGTTGTATAAATTGGTTGGAGTCGCCACTGCTGTTGATGCCATTCTATACATGTATTAACATGTTGTCAAATCATGGAAGCAAAGCAAGGCTTTCTAGTTTTGTATATTTATGAAAAGAACTTTAATATTCACAGCAATAGACCGAGAGATGGTATTTCTTTGTTTGGATACAGATCTACCGAAATACATATATATAGAAAGTATTATTTATATTGTGACTTATCATAGGAAAAGCTTACAAAAAGGAGTGATGAAGTCGTGTGCTTGAGAGAGATAGCGAAATGTTAGTAAAATCCGCTATAATCACAGTCTCTCGTTGTCGATGCAGTTTGGTCTACGATCTATTCCGATAAATACAAGTGTGAAAATTACATCTACAGACATTCATTGCTATACAATATTCTATAATAGTATGAGAACACAAATCAATGACTCTTTACAACCATTCACTCACATCTACGATTAGTCGTTATTATTTATTTTTCATTTCACTCTTTTTTTTTCTTTCACATCTCACTGGGGTCTGCCTTATACACAGAGTCCAAATTCAAAAACAATTGGACATTTGAAAATGATTCCTGATCAGTAAGATCATAGTGGCAGAATTACTTTTTATTAATAAGAATACTAATAGCTACTTAAAAAGGTACGTTTATAAGCACTTTTGTCACTGTACGAAAAATTATAGAAAGTACTTAATAGTAACCTTGTTACCACTTTTTGTTTACATAGGATCTGATAAATTACTATAGCTGTCTGTTTTGAGATTCTCGATAAATTAGAAACCCTTAGAGAGTTTCAGATAGTAGTAAAGTCAGAAACCATTTAAAGGTTTACAAGGGTACGTTTTTTCTAGAGAGTGCTTTAATCCTATTGTTATTATTCTTTTTTCTCACCATGGTATCCGTTATTGACTCTCACATCTTCAAGGATATCTTTGGTACTGCTGCTATGCGTAGTATGTACAAGCACAATAAGTTTTCCATGCTTTTATCTTTATATTTATGTTTTTCTTCACCAGATCTTTGGTCTGATGAGGCACGCATTGCATATTATTTGGAGTGGGAAGTTGCACTGGCCAAGGTCCAAGCAAAACTCAATATCATTCCTCAGGAAGCTTGTGATGAGATTGTCGCCAAAGCCAAGCTCGAAAATATTAACTTCGACAAGCTCAAACAGGAGACTGAATTGATTGGTTATCCTGTATTGGGTGTTGTGCAACAGATTGTCTCTCTCTGTCGTGACGGTCTTGGTGAATGGTGCCATTGGGGTGCCACCACTCAGGACGTCACTGACAGTGCCTCTGTTATGGCTATACGTGATTCTCTTGATATCATCGAAGCTGATCTGGACCACATTATGGGCAGTGTAGCTCAGCTGGCTGAGGATCACCGCTTGACACCCAGTAAGTCCTCTCTATCCCTCTATTGTATTCTATTATATATACCGTTAATCATGGTTTTACTAGTGGCTGGTCGTAGCAATTTACAACAAGCTGTGCCCATCAGCTTTGGCTTCAAGATGGCCCGTTTCTTGGCTACTCTCCAGCGTCACAAGGAACGCATAGGAGAGATCCGCAAGCGTGCTTTGACTCTGGAGTTTGGAGGCGCTGCTGGTACTCTTGCCACCTTGGATAATAGCGTAGCATTTAAGTGTCAGGCAGAACTGGCACGCGAATTGGGTTTGGCTCAACCCGAGATTGCGTGGCATACGGAGCGTGATCGTATTGCTGAAGTAGGTGCTTTTCTCGCCATACTCTGTGGTACTTTGTCCAAGAATGCAACGGACATCAAGGTAAAACAAAAGGGAGAGGCAAATTTCTTTTGATTGCACACACATGTTTTGGCGGTTTTTATTTTTGATGTAGTTGATGATGCAAACCGAAGTTGGAGAAGTGTCTGAACCTTACATTCCTCATCGTGGATCCAGCTCCACCATGCCAAACAAGTTCAATCCGATTAGTTGCGTATACATCCATGCATTGGCTGCCACTGTTCGTCAACATTCGGCTGCTCTTATGGACGCCATGGTTGAAGATCACGAGCGCTCGACTGGTCCCTGGGAGATTGGTAAATATTTTAGTTTTGTGTAGTCAATTCTCCCCCTAAATAGAACACTCTGGGTCTTCTATTAGGACATAGCGTACAAACTTTTAGACGGGTCTTTTATTATGCCAAAGTTTTCTAAAAAGTATGCAAGACGAAAAATTGCGACACTACTCTAGAGAGTACAGATGTAGCATTTGTCGCTCTTCTATGAAAAGAAAGGGTTGTGTGTTTTGTGCCTTTCAAACATGCCCCTCTAAAAGAAGATGTCGAATCTTCTATTAGTATCCAACTAACAAATCAGAGGAGAGGAAGATGAGACTCCTCTTACAATCACTACACAAAACATTACGAAAAAAAAGATGTTCTTAAAAAATTCGTCACACGATCGAAACGACTATGGTCTTCACGGCAGTTTTTCGGGTAGAGGATTCTTCACCTGTACTAACTCTCAGGTGAAATTTTTCGCATGACAGACTAGACTGAGAGAACCATAGTTATAATATTACAGGGGCCAGAAATCACTTTGGTTACCTTCAGTTGTGGGAAAATTTCAAATGAACGGGAGTACAGATGAAAATTCTCTAATGAAAGAACTGCTAGGCGATATTACGGTTGGTTGTGAAAATTCTTTTTCGATTTCGGTCCTTTCCAGCCTCTTACGATGGAACCACTCCAGATGATACCTCCATTTGAGCTCATATTGGGTTCATAAAGAGGCCACAATGAAGCTAGCAAAAGTCTAAAAGTTTTTATCCTCATGAGTCTTTGGAGTCTGGCTACGAAAGTTTTATTGAATTTTTGCCCAATTTTTAGATATTTACCAAAATATTAAATAATAAAGTTTTGATCTGAAATTTTGCCCATGAATAGGTCTAAAAATGCTTAGAATATCCTGAAAGTTTCGGCCAAAAAAAATGTTTCTTTATCAAGATATTGAATTATTAAAAATAGTTGCTTGTCCCAGACATGGCACAACAGTGCAGTTTATTTTGAAAATTCAATATCTTGACAAAGGAAAATTCTTTTCAGCTGAAGGTTTTAGGGTATTCTAACTATCATTAGACCTATCTATGAACAAAATTTCAGATCAAAACTTCATTATTTGATTTGTTGATAAATATCTAAAAGATGAGTGAAAACTCAGTAAAGCTTTCGCAGCCAGACTCCAAAGACTCATGGGAACAAACGTTTTTAGACTTTTGCTAGTCTTACTGAGACTTCCTTACGAGCTCAATATGAGCTCAAATGGTGGGTATCACCAGAGGTGGATTCCTCGTTGGAGATTTTTCAAAAACGTTTCTCGAAAATTCTTTGATTAAGAAGTCAGAGCGCTAATCATTAATAAAGCCTTGAATTAAAACAAAAATATGATACCAGTAAAAACTGGTCATAATAGAAGAACCGGGTATTCTATTACGACCAACATACCAAAACTTCAGTGGGAATCTTCTATTCAAAGGAGAGGTTTATGTGAATTCACTTGATATCCTATACTCACATTTCAATTCTTTTTCTTTCATGTAGAATGGATCGTTCTGCCAGAAGTCTTCATCCTTTCGGCTGGCGCATTAAGCCAGACCAAGTCAATGATGGCTGGTCTACAGGTCTATCCCAAGAACATGATGCGTAACTTGAACCTGACAAAGGGTCTCATTGTGTCTGAGGCTGTCATGATGGGTCTCAGTCCCAAACTGGGTCGTCAATCTGCCCACGATCTCGTGTACGCTCACTGTCGTCGCGCTTTCCTTGAAGATCGTATGTTGATTGATTTACTCAAAGAAGACAAAGATATCTCTGCTGTTTTATCTGATTCTGAACTCAAGCATCTCTGCGATCCTGCAAATTATCTTGGTTTGAGCGGATCCATGGTTGATAGCGTTCTCACTGCCTACAAAAAAAATCTTACGGCTGTGAATAAAACTAACGTTTCAAATGACATCGGTCACTAACTATATTTCTCTAACTAACTAATAAAGAATTGCATAAGAGTAACGATTCTTTTATGTTTATACATTACTACTTCTTTTCTCTTTATTCTTCTCTTCGTTTACTTACTTCACTTTGCAGTAAATGATGTGAAAATGACAATGAAATGGAAGCACAATATTTGCTTCTATGTGTCATTCTCACGCAAGGGTCTTTCCATGTGTTACAAAAGTATAGGCGCCAGTGGTAAAAAAAACATATTTTCTGCTAGACATCTTTTCGCCGACGATCTACCTGTTTTGATATCTTCATCTGGGAATTAGTTCTCAAAAATGCACATACTCAAATTTGTAAAACAAATCAAGGGTGTTATTAGTGCGCTACACTTTAAAAGAAATTCGTTTTCTAGGCAATCCGAATCGTCTCGGAAATCCTCTCGAATACTCGTTAAGGTTTGTGAAAAGGTTTCTGGTCTCCTAAAGCGTTTTCGAAAATACCCTGTTGGTTTCGGATCGTTCAGAAACCAAAAGGTTTTTGAAAATACCGATTTCGACACTCTAAATGCATTTTAGGATACCTTCATTTGATTGTCGAAAAACGAATTAGTCTTTTCGGAAACAGTAAAGGTATTATGGGAAATCCATGTTGGCAGAGAAATTGATTGAGGATTCGAACACATATGCGAATATACCTTCTCGGTTTTCGAGATAGTTCATCAGAAATCAAAATGGTTTCCAAACTCCTTGAATCCTAAAAAGGCATAATCAAAAACCTAAATCGGTTTTCAAATTTTTGTTTGACAACATTTTCGAAAATTTTCAGAACGTTCTCGAGAAATGTATTATCCATAATCCAAACGCTTTTCGAACAGAAATATTTGGTATTCAAAGTTTCTTTTCCACGCTTCGTTTCTCCACAACTTCAGAGGGTGTGGGTGTGTGTAGGTGATTATGAAAAGAAGATTATCACCAACAACTACATTCTCTTCCTAAAATTTCTCTTGTACACTACTCCGATGACACTAAATCTGTGAAGGCTTCATTGTAGTGACTTATAAAGAATGTATATATTGCAAAAATTTCTCTTTGACTGATGATCGACGTTTAAGAACAAAATTTAATGAGTATCCCTATTTGATGTTTTCAAGCTCTATCAATGGTAAAGACAATGAGATATATTGAGCAAAGAAGATTCATCGTTATATATTTCTGATTACATATTGAAATATGCTCGTATCCGAATATCAATGTCAATGTATTTTCTTATTTAATCAGCCTTTCCTATTCAAGTTTATCAATAAAAACAGTCGGAGTACAACATTATGAGCGAATCTTCTTTCCAGATGACTTTTTACTACTAATATCTTTAGTACTAGTCGTTGCCTTTGTCGTTTGATTATACCATGTATCAGCTTTTTGTCGTTGCCCTCCAACACTTTGAATTGCTGGTTTGGTCTGTTGTTGCTGTGATCGATTGGTTGCTTTTTGTTTATTTTCTAAACCAGTTAAAACTACATAAGTATGTTGTAATAAAATATCATCATCGACTTGAAATGTTGTAAGATCAATGTAACTAACACGATCACTCCATAAATCTGTTCGTTCAAGATAAAGTTGTAATGGTACATCAAGACTTATATTTGCATTCAATACACGTACAATCAATCTTTTAAGCATTGAAATCCAAGCATTAATTGATTTGAGTGTTTCAGCTATTTTCGCATTTTCAAATGTTGCACGAGAGAATACATCAAGAACTCGTTTTCGTTCTTCATCAGTAAATGTATCTTCAACAAGCTCTTTCCTCATATAGACACGTAAGACTTGATCAAATGCAATTTCTTCAAACATTTCATAAAAATCAATTATATATCGTAATTGAATAGCAGAAAAATGTGGCCAACGAAGAACATTATCATTAAGACGAGATTTCGAACGAATAAAACGTTCAATAAATAATTGTATAGTTATATCATCTGTTAATTTTTCTACAGCAATTGTTCTAATATAAGTAAAAATATTATCAAGTGAACCAAGATAATGAAGAATATCATCATGACTCATAGTCATAATCAAACGACTCAATTTTGTTCGATTATCATTTATTATTTGTTGTTGTTTAATACGAGCACGTACTTCATTAATTAAAGATGTATTTTCACCATACAATTCAAATTGATATGTCAAAAAATTTAATTTTTCTGTATCAATTAAAACTAATTCACTGATCATATTTCGAAGTGTAATTTCGATTTCTTCATAATCATATATAATATCTTTACCTTTTCCATATTGATAATTGACAACAATACTATCATTAATTAATTTTGTACTCAAACTATTTCGATTAAGAGAAAAAATATGTTCAGGTCGAATTGATTGTAATGATACACATTTTCGTTTAGAATTTGATGTTGTTTCAATATTATTATGAAAATAATTAACAATTTCATTTTGTAATTCAGCTATTGTTTTCAAACATGCTGGTAAAAGCATACTATCATCTCTTGATGATGTCAATAATAACATTGTAATACTTGTATTTTCAGCAAATTTTTCTTTTAAAACAATACGTTCAAATTTAAATGTTTGACATCCATAACGAACTTCTTTAAAAGTCAATGCATACCAAGCATCAAGAAAATCATCAAAAAATTTTTTAGTTATATCTCGATCATTATCTTGTGTTAAATAATAAATCATTTTTGTTTGAATAGCATCAATTCGTTTAATTCGATGATTAAATTTTTCAATTAAATAATTACTAAAAGCAATAATTGAATATAAATATTGAATATTTGTATAATCATCTAAACGTTTAATAAGATATGTACTAACTGGATAATTTTTTTCAGCAAAAGGTAAATTTTGTATTTTTAAAATAAATTCATCTAACGGATTTAATGTATGAAATGTAGTAATATTAAAAAAATTTAATAATGGATAATGTTCTTCATTTTCAAAAAGTTCATCAATAAAACTTTCTAATGTTTGTTGTTTTTGAATATATTCAGCATAAGCTTTTTTATATTCAATTATTTCATTATCAATTGAATTTATATGTTTAAAAATAAGTTTTTGTTCGATAAGTTGTTCAATTTCTATAATATTTTCATTTGTATTCAATAGACCTTGTTTATTAAATTCATCATCAATAAGATGATTAAGAAGTTTATAAAGCCATATATAACATTGTTGAGAATTGATTGAAGTTTGACAAAGAAGATCATAATCTTTTTCGAAATGATCACGAAAATAAGTATTTATTGGTAATTTAAAATATTGTTTTAAATCATCATCAGAGAAATAATTTCTATCATGCAAAAAATGAAGAAGACCATGTATAAGAAAATGAATAAAACGAAATGAAACTGGTCGATTTAAATGATTAGGTTTATCACCGAGAGTACTTTCATTTGTATTTTTAATATTATAATATCCAAAACAAATTTTTTGTTTTTCTTGTTGAATATATTTATTAATTTTTTCAAATGCTTCTGGAATTGGTATTCGAAGTTGAGGTGGATTACGTTCAATAAGAACATTATATCCCTGAGCACCAATCTCTTTCTGACATAGAGAACATATACTTTTACTGACTGGAGCACCACATTCTTCGAAAAAGAACATCCATGGACATTCTTCTGAACATTGATAAATAAATTTTCCATATTCAACAATATATGCACCTTGATCAAGACGTTCTTGAACTCGAGTTCGAACATACAACATTTGACTGATAATTATATTGTTGATTGTTAAACCCGGCAAGTAGATAGTAGAGAGATGTTGAACGTAATTGATTGGCATTTGTTGTTGATTATTGAAGAGAATATTGCCGAGCAATTTAATAGTTTTATGAGCTTTAAAAGAAATAAAAACAGCCACAATATTTAAAGCAAGTAAACGTTTATGAATATCATCTGGTATCATTTTAGATTGAAGTCGAAAATAAGATTTGTCCGAAAAATTCGAACATAAATCAATGAGAAATCGATGACCCAATGGTGTAAATGATTTAATTAAATCTTGACTAAAATCATGTTGAATAATTCGAATAAAGTCCATGTCTATGTCTGTATTTGGTTGAGTAAAACAAGAATAATACTCAATGAACCAACATAGAAAAGCATAGGATAATTTTTGTGTATGATTACATTCTTGAATTACTTTTTGTAATTGATTATTTCTATCTGTGCTATGGAATATTTTTCGAATTCGTTCGAATTCTTCTCGACCTTGAAAAAGAGGCAGAGGAAGAATAAGAGTTTGATGAACATTTGTTGTTTGTTGATCATGTGAACGTTGAAAAAAAGGTCTTATCCAAAAAAGATTACGATTAACATAGATTTCACGTAAATCTTCCAGAGTAAGTTTAGATATTTGTAGAATTTGTTTAATAATAAAAAGTTTAAGTGTCGAACAAAATGGTGTATCTGCATTAGTTAGAAATCTATCAAGATCAGATAAAATATCATCTCGACTGTCATTATTCAAAGCAAATGCATACATTTGAGCATAATATTTTAACCATGCAAGTAATGAAATTCTTTGACCAACATTTAGTTTATTACCATTTTGAATTTCATGAATATTTTCGATAAAATACGGATACTCATCGGTAAGTTGCCGACTGATTTCGTTTCCTTGAACGCTTAACATCAAATGCATATGAAGTCGATTGACCATCAATCGTTCAATTTTACATGTAGAAATATTTGGTATTTCAAGAGATTGATTCAAATGTTTGTATTTATCATTGGATGGAAGATTACCATGATTTTCTTTCAATGTTGACGTTAAATCAAGTTTATTATCAATAATTGTAAAAATTTTTGCTGAATAAAACCAAAGATCATTATTTTCATCATTGATAAGTGTTAAAATTTCACCATATGAATTACCATTATCAGCTAACCAATCTTTTAAAAAGTCAAGTTCAAGTTTAACTAATGCTCGATGAATTGTATTTTCATCGGCAGTTGATTGTTCTGCTTTGATACGTTGTTGTAATTGAGTAATAAAACAATGAATTTCCGAACATGAATCGAATTTAGCATCGAAACTACCCTTACAAACATCTTTAAGAATATCAAGAGCTTTATGAGAAAGTAGAGTAGTAAGACAACGAATGAAACTAATAAATGAACGAAGTTTCTCTAAATTATTAACTTCATATGAATTTAAATCACGAATACCTTTTGCAATCAAACTGTATGTTGTTGTTATTTGTTGAATATTTTTTGCTTGTTGAATAACAGATGATGATAGAATGAGTTCAATTAAATTCATTAGACTTGTTTCAATCATAGGATCACCTTGATATTCAAATATTGATTGTTCTTCAAGAGTTATAGTTTTTGGTGGTAATTGATAGAATTGTTCATTATTAACTAAGACAAGTGTATAAAATTCAGAAGATTTTATTATACCAAATGGTATTTCAATCCATTGTTCTCGAATTATATTTCGAATATTTTCTTCACTAACTAATTGTAAACTAATTTCAAATAAACGAAGAATTTCATTTAATTCAATATGTTCAATAAAAAATAAACGTTTATATTGTTTGATTGTTCGTATTGGATTACTTGTTAATAAATCAAAAACAAAATTAGTCGAAAGTTGTATTTTAGCATCAGCTAAATGCATTGCTATTTGATCATGAAAATATAATTGAAACCATTTTTGATCAGTAAACATAAGTTGTAGAAATTTATCATTATAAATATTTGAAGTATGCATTTGATCAAGACGTGAATCATATTCATCCGATGAAGATTCATTATTATATTCTTGTAATTCTTGAAATTTCTTTCTTATAGTTCGAATATTTTCAAATTCAACTGCTGCACAAGGTAATTGAAGATCAGAAGCATATGAAATATCAATGATATCAAGATTCATTATTGTTAAATCAATAGTTTCTAATGATGCTTTTAGCGAATCTATCCATAGTTTGGATAAATCATTTTGCATATTATCATCTTGATTATTCATAATGAAAATATAAGCATCGAAAAATTGATATTTTTCAAGATGAGTCAAAAGAAGTGAAAGATAGGCTTCATAAAACACAGATATTGTTACTTGAAAAGCATGATAAAATGAACGTGAACCTGCAATTGTAACAGCATTTGTTAAAATATCAAGTCTCCAATCAACAAAACGTGTTTTATTAGATGATGGAAATTGCTTAATTAATATCATTAAATATTCAATTATAATTGAACGAAGATGAAGATTTTTCAATGTTGAATTATTTCGATGTTCAATAATATGTTGAAGAAGCATATGACGTCTTTCACTAATATATTCTTCGTCTATTGTTTGAAAATTGATGTAACGAAATTTTGATAAACATCGATCAACTAATTCATCAAATATATTATCAAATAAATGAAAATTTAATTGACATCGATGAATATCTCCATCGAATATACATTCAGATAGACAAAATTCTGGTTGAAGAACAAGATTTTGATATGAAGGATTATTTAGTATTTGTTTCGGAATAAGTTCTTGATCATTAAGATCATCAATCATATCTATCAACCAGCCACTAAATAGAACATCATTATTTATTTGATTAAGAAGATTACGTTGTAAATGAAATATAATCCAAACATTTCGATTACTTGATGATACACATTCATTTTGTATAACATGTTTTAGTGAAAGAATATGTTGATATTCACCATGATAGTCTACACGAATTAAGAGAAGACGAATATTTGTTAATGCTTGATAATGACGTTTTACTTTTCTAACTAATTCAAATTCAGTTCTAAAAGCACTCAATTTAACTTCTTCGACATCACTTGATAGATGATCTATTGTATGATAGATTTGAGTATATGTATAAATAACTTGAAGAGAAGTAGTAGAATTTTCAAGATATTGTTTAATGAGTTTGTTAAATGTTAATGACTGACGTAAGTCATAATATTTTTCAATCAAATTTTGACATTCAGAATTTGATTGTATTGAAAGAGTTAAAGGTAAATCAAATGAACTAGTATGAAGTAATTTTTCTTGACAATAATTAATAATATCTGGAATATTCTCAGATTTTTCTTCATCATCTATTGATATATTAAATTGTTCAAAAGCATCAATAACAAGATTACAAAGTTGATCTTGACTATAATCAACAAATAAATGTTGTAAAAGAGGAAAATGATTACCAAGATTTTTCGGTAAGAAATTATCTATCCATGTATATAATTGTCGAGATAATGACCAATGTCGTGGATGTACTAATGCTTGAATATCAATAATATGTTTTTCAAAACGATTAAGAAATGGTGGATCACATTGATCTAAATCACGTTTATGAATAAAAACTATACAATAAAAATCATCATGAACAAGACAACGTGGATGATATAGTGCACCTAATGCAATCCGACAATATTTTTTTTTTGCTGATATAGCAAAATTTTGATTAAATAAATCATAAAGATTATCATAAAGATGACCCATTTGACGCATAATTAATGTAATATTTGTTTCAGCATAAAGAATAATATCCATTAAAACTTGATAATTATAATCTTCAGCATAAGTATTTCCTGAAAGTAGATCACCAGGAAATGAACTACCAACAATAGTACGAACAAGTATTTTTTGTTTTTGTTGTTGAACATTAATATAACGTTCAACATAATCAATAACACTATCACTATCAGCAATAAGCATTAGATATCGACTTGAACGATTACAAAGAGTTTGATCAAGAAGATAATTAAACGGAGGACATGTATGTTCAACAATGAGATTTTGTTTATTGATATAATCACAGAATTGTTGCCATGAAAATGTTGAACCATCAAATATACCATCAAAATTGATTTTAAGCTGTTTTCGAATAATTTCATATAATTTATCATTATCTTTTAGTTTTGTTATATCACGAGCAATACCTTTTATGAGAGAATAATAATCTCGAAGACCAAAATAATTTTCATAATCTGGTTGTGTTTCTTTTAAATGCTCACATAAATTATAATAAGCTTGAGAAAGACTATCAATAATAAATTTTTCAAATTGAACTATTGGTCTTTCAATTTGTTGTTGCATACTTTGAGCAATAATTAAACCTGTCAATTGTAAATCTTTAATATCTGGATCTGGTGTTGATAAATATAGTGCACGATTCATTTTTGAGGCATCAAGTCGCCAATTAGATACACCAACAAAACCATATTTACTATTATCAACTTCAAGTTCAGCATGCAAAACTTTGAGTGGATTATGTGGTGAAAGTTCAGCAAGACCAATTTCATCAAAAATAATAACAGGTAATATTTCAGAATCATTTCGAACTCCACCATATTTAGCAGCACGTTCAAAAACTTTTATAATACTTTCCGATGTACAATTTTGTGAACCTTGAAATGAAACAGCTACAAGTTCGGGTAATGTTTGAAAATATGAATCTTTTGATTTTTTTCCTTTAAGATTACTAATAACAATTTGAACAGCTGATGATTTACTACTTCCAGGTTTACCACATAAAAATAATGGTATACGATTGACAATACAAGCAAGAAGAACGAAAATATTGTCACGAAGTGCTCGATTTCGAGCGGTGTTCAATGGTACTTCCATTTTTTGATCGATCAACTTGATTTGTTCATCTTCAAGAATATGTTTAGTCAAAAAATCAGATTTCTTAGCCACATTTGGATATACTTCTGCAATAATCGATTGTATTTTTTCTACATAGATCTTTTTTAATTCAGTAGAACGTAAACGAAAATAATAACAGAGCATAAGTGCAATAAAACTGGCTCGACGGAGAAAACTATTAGGTAAATCTTTAAATTTTTTTGTTATATCTCGTTGAATTAATGAATCAAGAAACCAATTATAAAGACGACAAAAACGAGCAATATCTCGTAGACTTACACTACTTGCATCTTCAATTTGACGAAAATGATTTTGAGATTGCACAAGAAGACGAACAATAAGATTAAATAGACTTTCATCATTCGAAAGTTCTTTACATATATTTAACATTGTTTTTATATAAACTAACTCAGTTGGTTCATTTAGATAACCATAATCCCAAATATATTCAAGCATAGTTTCTGGAATTGGTACAACTGTATATAAAAGACGTTGATCCGTACCTGCACAAAGAAGTTTTTGCATTTCATAACGATTTTTTCTTAATCCAACATGTATATTATCATTTTGAAGAATTTTTGCTGTTTTTTGTCGTCGTGGATTACAAGCACCAAGAAAAACCATATTATCTGGTAATAATTCTCCAAGTAATGTTCGTTCGCATATAATTTCTTTCAGAAGACCAATATTTGGTGTTGTATTAAATTCATCAAAAAATATCCATAAACGTTGTTCTGGATTAGTATATGTTTTAAGTTTTTGAATATAATTATGCATTTTTTTAATTATAATATTAGATGTAATACCAGCATGAATACGAAAAATTTCGAGTTCTTCATCTAAAATTTTTTGACATAAAAATTGAATTAATGATGTTTTTCCACATCCTGTTTCACCCATAATTAAAACAGGTATATCACTTTGTATTCGCATATAAATAAGAAGCATTTTAATAAAATTATCTGGTGTAAGTACATAATCAATTTCAAATTTTTTTGAAATATCAAGTTGAAATTGTTCAATATCTTTATGATTGAATGATTTTGGTCGAATAAGAATATCTTTACTTTCACATTTATCACATTTTTGTTGTTTAAAATCATATTGTCTAAAACATTTTGGACAAATTGATTTATTAAAATATTTACGTGAAAGTGAAGCTAATTTAAGAAAAAATTGACTATGATTAAGTGTAGTATAATCTGGAAAAATTGTATTTCGCATCATTTTATTTTGTCCTAATATTTGATAATAAAATTCGAAATATTTAACAAGTGCTTGAGGTATATCTGTCGGCTTTTTATAGACAAATAATGGTTCATTACTGGGTGTAAAAACTAATGTAAACGGTTGAATTGTATCCCATCGAACGATAGCATCACTAAATATTGTCTGTTCGTTACTAGCAGCTGATCGTTGTTGTTTACGAACAGCTTCAACTGAAAGTGAAGTAAATTGATTTGTTGATTGAAGAAGTGTTTGAACAAGATCCATACGAAGTTGTAATTGTGTATAAGAAATTGATTCAACTAAGAAATAACCACATTGTGAAAAGCCTGTAAATAGATGATAAAATACAGCAACAAATATCGATAATTGAGTCCATGTTATGTAATTAATATCTTTTTTTGGAAGAAATTGATCTTGAATAAGACGAACACATGTTGTTAAATCTAAATTTTGAAATATTGATGGATTGACATCCTGTTCTATAATTACTTTACTATCAATAGCTTTCAAATAATTTGCTACAACTTGAATTTCTTTATTGTTTATATTGAGAGTTGTCCAATCGACTTTTTCGACAATTATCGATGGAATTATATATTGAAATAATGGTAATTCATTAAGAGTCGCATCTGGTGATGCATCAAGTTCAATATATACAATTGTTTCAATTGGTATTGAAACAGCTACATGTCCAAAACGAAAATTTCGAAAAAGTAATAGACAATAAAGAATTTCATTCAATTGTTGACTATTAGCAGTTGTACCAATATCAATATGAATAGCTCCTGTTTGAAGTTGAGAATATTTTGAACAAAGTCGTTCAGCTAATGTATCAACATCAAAATCACCATAGATTGGAAATTTTACATATTTTTTATTAGATTTTTCTATTTTTTGACGAATAATAGTTGATTTTCCTAGACCAGTTATTCTTGATGTAATAAGTGTACAATTTTTATTCATATCTTGAATTAATTTTTGAAAATCTATTTTATTTAATAAATCTTGATCACGTAAAATATCAACAATACACATTGATCGAAGTCCATTGATAAGTTGTTGATTTTTTATATTAGTTGTTGTTATAATACCAATACGAAAATTTTGATTAGGTTTATCTTTAATTAATGAACGTAATAAACAAATAAATTGATCTTGAATTGATTGAGAAAGAAGTTCAGGTCGAATAAGTTGATGAAATGTTTGTGAATAAAAACAACGATAGATAAATCCACGAATTTGTATCCAATTTGTTCGTGTTGTACAATAGAAAATATGACGAATATGTGTTTGAGTATTTGTTTTTTGAAATAGAGATAATATAGCACGAAGAATACCTTCATTTGTTGTTTCAATAAGAAGAATTTTTTCATTTTTTAAATTTTCTTTTTGACAAGAAATTTTTTGTCTTAATTTTGAAAGTAAATTTCCAAGATTTTCTAAACGATCTTCTACTTTTTCTAATTGTTTATCCGGTTTTAAAATTAATTTTGGATCAATATCAATAAATCTAAGAAGATGATAACCAGGATGAGATAATGATAATGGATTGTAAATATAATCTTCAATAAGCCAAAATTGATCACCTGTAAAATATGTTAAATCAACATGTATTTCATACATAGAAAATAATTTCTTTTCCCAATTAACAAGTAAATTAATTAATATTTTATTATTTTGTATTAATTCATCATAATTTCCATCTATACATAAGAATTGTTTTTCGGATATAAGAAATTTTGAAACTGATGGATGACCAGTCGTATATAAGATTGTTAAAGTTTCTAAAGTTGTTTCAACAACACTAACAAATTCAATAAAATTACGTAATTTATCTATATCACGTTCTTTATTATCACTTTTTTGTATATTACTAGAATATTCGAGTAGACGTGCACGATCACGAAGTTCACTTAAATCAGTAAATGTTATATTTTGTTCTTTTTGTTCATCATTCATTGTTATTTGTTGTTGTTGTTGATTTGGAAGTTTAACATCAATATCAAATGTTATTTCATGATGTCCATTGCGAATAAAATTAATATTCGATTTTTGTAATATATCAGCTATTCGACGTCGTTTTGATTGTTCTTTATCAGTTAATTCTAAATGAATACGTTTAATACTTGATAATGATAATGCTGATGATTCAAGACATCTAGAAAGACTATCAAATTGATTATTTTTCCATATATTTTCAAAACATTTGATTATATGTTCAAATGATAGTAACATAACATTCAATTGTTTTTGTTTATTTATCATTGCTGCATAGGCAAGATCAAGAAAATTTTTCACTGTAGCAAAATCAAAAATTGTTTTCGTATTTACCAATGTTTCATCCCAATCATTGACAGCTTCTTGTAAATTATAAACATCATCGGCTGTTAATGTATCAAGAAAATCAAATAAATCCCATGATGAACCATAATAAGAAAATAATGTAAGAATATTATTTGAACATTTCTTTTCGATTTGTTCTCGATATTTTTCATAGATTAAAGAACATATTTTACTCAATGTTTGTTCATCAATAGCATATAAACTTCGCAAAAAATTTAAATCAATATTAGAAGAAATTTTCTTACTCAGATTTATAATACCCGTACAGATATATCGAATATGACTACGATCTTTCCAAAATGATATAATAGAATGAAGTAGAGGTAGAGTTTCCTTTTTAAGTAACGGTGCTAATAATGTAAGATCATTTTCAGCTTGATTAATGTCAGGAAATAAGCAAAGAATATTTTCAATAGGAATCTGATCTCCTTGTTCACATATATGTTTTAATATTTGTTGAAAATCTTGAAGAATTTTATCCGCGCGTTGAAGTATGTTCAAACATTCAAGTCTCTCAGTTGTACTTAAGATTTGATCTGTAGATGTGATAAAAAAAAGTATATGTGGACTTTTTTACTTCAACAAATATAAATCATACCTGATGACAATGTTTTTTCTTGTAGCCATGTATCATCATCTGTTTCTTCGCTCAATTGCCGTTCGATTGATTTCCTAAGATCTCGTCTTTCTATTGATCGGTTTTTATTATTAGATTTTGTTTGTTGATCGAGATAAGCTTGCCAAGCAATTGCTGTTGCATAAGGATTAAGTCGTTCAGCAAGTGGAAAAATATTAGATAGATCTGATGGTATATCAATTGAATAGATATTTTCATATTCAAAACGTGCATGCCAATTTTTAACAAGATCATCATATTTCGTTTTATCGATTGCCTCTTGACAATAAGTATTGAGACATGTAATTATTTTATCATTTGTTTCTAATTTTGTTTTCAAAGCTTTTTGTGAAATATCGAAAACTGTATCTAAATGATCTTGTTTTTTTGTTTCTTGACCTACTAAAGACCATATTTTATGAACAATAGCTTTTTGTTCTCCAGTAAATTTTTCCCATGTTCGTATATCACTAGCAAGAATGTTTCTTTGTTCCCATTTTGTCCATTGTTGACTTAAACGATTAATAATTGTTTTATGAATTGATAATGAACTAAACGATTCATCGAATAGAATAGCATAAATAAATGTATTTCGAGATGGTTGTTTGAAAGTATCATTTATAAGTTCAAGATCTTCAATTTCGATCATTGATGCAGCAAGGGCAATTAGATTTTCTACAAGTTTATTTTGTCTATTGTGTACTTTAGCAATACTCATTAATTGAAATAAGGGATTTGTGGGATCGTGTAAATCCCTTAATTGATTCTTGGCATTGGCTAATTTTTCTTTTTCATATTGGTTTTGAAAAGCTTCAAGAAATTTTTCATTATTTACTTTGCATAGAGTGCTCATCAGTAGATTGTTCACATTCTCTACAACAGAATAGAAAAAAAAATTTCTCTTATAATGGATGTACATAATTCGATAACTTGAACGATGTTTGTTTGACAAAAACTCTTATTCTTTCGAATAACGTCTTATCATTATTGAAAATAATGACGAGAGCATAAATTATCATCTACTCGCTCGTATGATGCAAAGAAAGTAGCATTGGGCTATATTATTGCTTATAAAATATGATGAGACAAACCTTTTTTTTTTTTTTAAACTTTTCTCTTTTAAAATTAATCTCTTTTTCAAGGTTTAAATATATTTTTTAATGTTAAACTATCTGTAAAAGAAGAAGTGATAATGCTGTCTTTTTATGGAAAATATTCTATGAAATTATAGTGCTTGAAAAACAAAACACGAACATGTAAATATGTATCGATAGCTTTGGTTTTTTTTTACCTTGTCGGAAACATTGTATGACCATATGTGTTACAAAAAAGTTTGAACGTTGATCTTTATTTGGTGCAACTTTTATCCAAAGATCGATGAGTGAATCAACTTTTTCCATGATTTCGGGAAAGATTTTTTGATCACTAATAAAACATTCTGTCCATTGACGAGTTAATACTTGATAATCAATCCAATTATCATCTGTTTCACATAGAAAATATTCAAACCAACAGAGAAAATAATCGGTTGCTCGATCATTTCGACGAAAAAGTGTACGGAAAAGATAGTTTTGACGATCGATATTATGTAATAAATATGAATGATATGAACGAAACAAAATATCACGAATAAGAGAAAATTCACACAAGGAAATATTATAATTTCTTCCATATAAATATGGTTCAATCTTATTTCGTAATGTATCATTTGTTTGGAAAATAGATTGAATTAGTTGAATTGACTTGTCGTCTGTTTGTTGTTTCAAATAAGTGAGAATACATGTAATATCGGATAAATTAACTAGAGAAGAATTAGCAAAAAAAAAAAAAAATATCAATTTTTTTTCTTTCTCTTTCTCGTAATTACTTACTTGGAAGATGATTACTTTCAAGAAGTACATCAAGTTGATCTTTTATATTATCTTTAAAATCATTTGCATTATCTTCATGAATTTTGAGAAAATAACTAAGATAATCAATGTAAGTTTCAACTGAAACAGCTAGTTCGAGATATTTCAATGAGAAATCATCAGATTTAACTAATGTATACAACATCATTATTTCGTTTCTTGGCAATTTGCATCGTAAATGACAGAATAAATTAAGTAATTTCAATGCTACATCTTCTCGTTGTTTTCCTTCGGGCATTCTTGAAAGTAAGTCAATAGTATTATTTGTCTCATTTTCGTTTTCTCGATTAAATATTTTAATACTAATTAACTTTACTAAACCTTGACAGAAAGATGCCCAAATATTTTCATAGATTGTTGGTAAGATAACATCGAGCTTGTCAGATAAATTTCTTAGAATAATTGATGCAAATAATGAAGCTACTGAGCCAATAATTATATTTTCTTGATTAATAGATAAAAAGCCAATCATACGTATAATAAGTTCGAGTGCATCTAGATCTTGCTTGAGAACATGCTCAATATTTGATAAATATCTGAGGCATAAAATGAAAAATACCCGCAAATCATCAAATAAAATCATGTTTTGACGGTCTTCAAGGGTAGTTGTAAATTGATCGAACAGTGACTCAACATTATCGTAAGATCGCATGCTCAGAAGAAAATAAGTAAACATACACAGCTGATCCCAAAATGGTATGTTACTACCTAAAAGAATTGTTTTTACAGAAATAGGTAACAACGCAATATTTTCTTACCAGGAGGATTCTGAAGATAATAACGTTTAAAATGAGTATCAAATAAAAATTGATGTAGCATCAATGGATCAACTATGAGTGTACGAACTGAATCTTCTTCGTAATGGTGTGTCCAGGTGCGTCCTGGTTCTGATATACGAAGTTGAAACGAATAAATTTTACAATATTTCTTATCGTAGTAAATACAAGTTTCTCCTTTATCAGTGCGAAAAATATTTAATGAAAGTTGATAGACAATTGGACTCATATCATATTTGTTTACATTCAACTAAAATACAAACGATATTTCATTGTTATTTCACAAGATTTTCTAATTAATATTTAATGTATTGTAGAATTTAACTTGAATCTAACGAAGAAACGTTTTTAATTGACAACTCAATTTTGAATTCGAACTTTGTAAACAAGGGAGACTCTAGTAAGATATGAAAAAATTTTAACAAAAACTAAGTTCCCTTAAAATTTCTGTGGGCATTGATGAACATTTTAGTATGATTTGCATCACTTGTCGGTATAAAGCATCGAATCGAATAACTGTATATTCGATCTGGGACTTAGCCTACAGACAAGTCTATATGTCAATAAAACATCCTGAAAATTTCAGCTCAAAATGGTGTTTTCTTTGCAAGATATGAAGATCCTGAAAACAAATTCGTATTACCTGTCGTAGAATATGAGTGATTTTTAGGACTCTGTTATTTCAGGAATAAAATATGTTTTTGGGGACGCTCAAAAACGATATGGCAGTTTTAAACATTTCCTCATAAGACACCATGAATCAACTAACCCTATGGACATTCAAAGCGTTGCTGCTGTTAAAATCAAATTTGATATCTTTACCAAATACAGCTTGAATTTTCCAACTATGATTTGGTTCAGCATGACGTAGTAAGTACCACGTGATAGGATACACAGTCCATGAATTGCGAGAAGTTGCAAGACCCTTAGTAATAGGTTCAGATGAAGCTGTGACGACTGTTAGTTTATCTTTCGTCTCATCATCATCTTGTCGTTGATCGTTTTCCTCATTGTCACTTTGAAAGTCATCTTCTAGCTCATCACCGACTTGTAATTCTTTATATTTCTCGTTGTCGTCTTGTAGTCGACTTTCTTTTCCATCGTCGCTTTGAAACTCATTTGTTATATCATCACAATTTTGTAGTTCATTAGTTTTCGCATTATTGTTTTGTAGCTGATTATCTTTCCAGTCCTTGTTTTGAAATTCATCTTTTATTCCATCCCTTCTTTGTAGTTTATTGTCTTTGACGTCATTATTAGGTTCGATTGATGATGCCGACATGTGTACTAAATAAAAATCTAAAGAAAAGCAGCACTTGATCAAGTAGGAAAAAATGACTAATGAGACATAAATGAAACTAACAATACAATGTGTTTATTCGTGAGTCAAAAACAGATTACTCACGAACAATAATAGGAAGAAGAAAGCAAAGAAAGCTATGCGTACACATGGTCACCTACAGATAAGAAGTAAGTGGAGAAAAGAGGCAATGAATAAGCATGAGTTGCCACTTGGCAATTTCCACGAAAAATGTGAAGAGTCAATATGAGTTAGATTCATCAAGTTCACTAGAAGAATTTCGTGTCTAACTCCAAATAAGGGTATGGGTGTGAGAGTGTGGGTGTGGGTTAAGAAAAGAAGAACACCCACATTCCACACCCGTACCCCAGCTGTTGTTTGAAAGACTAGAAATCCGTTATTAAGAAAAATGAAGACGAATTTTCTAAAAAGTAATGTTGCAAGACATCTTTTATTGAAATCCCTTAACTCTTAAGGAGGATTTTACAAAAAGCGAGATAATATTGCGTTGTGCAATGCTTTATCTTTTCTTTTGCTCTTTTCTAACTTATGTGAAGTAGCACGCATAGTAGAATCTGGACTTTTATTCTGCTCTTGACCTTATCTAAGAAAACAATGGTTGGTTTCTTGAATAACGATAACATACTTTAATCATATGAATGTTTTTTCTGGTTCTGTATGAGCATACACATATACTGGGGAAAAAACTTTGATATCGACAAAAAGTCTTATCATTATTCAAGAAAAATATCGTTGGTTTCTTCTGAAAGTACTCAGACAGAAAAAAATCAGCTCATACTGATAATGTATCTCATCTATAGACTCTTCTTTTCAATTAAATATGAGTTAACTACAACGCCTGTTTCAATAACATTATTTAAAAAAATGTCATGCATCGTGTTAACTTCTCTGAATGCTTTGTGGGGCAAGCAGATGAAAATCTATAGCCATAATCATCTATTCATTGTTTATTTAGAAAATCTTCAAATGCTGACAAAAATTGAGGCTTGAGATATCTCGAATAATAATTCCTAATAAAAATTATCCTCTGCTAAATACAGTTTTTTTTTATGTGCGATATTCACTGGATTTCACGATTGATACAAGTCAGACAAAAGCATGTACACTCTAAGATAAAGTTTCGTAGTAAACCAGCTAAACTAGGTTTCCGAATTTCTGAAACCTGCTTTTTAGTTATAAAAGGGTGTGGATGCAAGTGTGGATATGTGGGGTGTAGGTATGAATATTCTCTTCTTCCATACTCACACCCGCGCCCATCACGCCCACACCCTTAAATAATAAAAATAAATATAGTTTTTTATATAGGCCATCTCAATGAAAGGTAAGTGCTATTTTAAAATAAATGATTTTTTTTTCTTTATTTAGATTATCTGATCATCTTACTAACCAGTAAGTATTGCTTCATAAAAATAAATAGCTTTTTTCTTTTATGTAGTTTATCTTAACATTGCAGTAAAATAATTTTTCATATCTTTATTGAGATCATTTGATCATCATAATGAACGGATAAGTATCAATGTATAATTATATATTCGTTTTTATTTACATTGTCCTACAATTTCAACGAATCGTTATTATTATTTTATTTAATGCTTTTGATTTATCTACTACGAATGGGGAGAACGATATCATGCCTCTCATTCACGAGTATGGAATGTCGACTAAACATGAGCATTAGGCTAATGCTAAGAGCAACAATTTTCTTACAATCCTGAAAGAAAAAGATTGCAATTTTCATTAATTAATGCTATGCTAAGGCGAAGCCGTATCCCTGAGTAATTTCAATACTCTTTCATCACGTTTTTAATACAATAGAGTTCTAGCTACTGTTAAGTTGATGCAATATTGCGTTGATTCAATAGCAGTTACGATGCTTTTGAGATAAAACTGCAACATAAAAGAAATGGAATTAGTTAGCGATACGGCTTTGTTTTGGCATGACATTAATCAATACAAATTTCAATACTTTTCTGCTATGCATGTAACACAAAGGGATTGCTGTTGATATTAATTTAATGATAATCCTGAGCCGGCATCCCTGTTTGGGAGAAATATGTATGAGTATGGAAGCGACAATGGTATATGGATCGAGACCTAGTCATAGTTTCATATGCTATGACCAGGTTCGATCATTGAAAATATTATTTGAATAATCGCGATTTCATCTAAGAATTACAAAAAAATCGCGATTAAATCGGTGATTTTGATGACATGGGATGTTAACTTCTTTTCTTAGTGAAAGTTTCCAAAATAATATAAGTTATTGCATGTTAATCTGAATTTTAAAAGTTAAATTTTCTAAATTTCAATATTCGTCTGATTTATGCTTGGTAAGTATTAGCATCTTGTCTCGATGCTACTAGCCTTAAGTCTAGTCAATCTCGTCGTTTAATTGCATTATTCATTAGACTTTGACTTCATTGGTTAAGTTTCTCGTCTTTGAAATTGATAGTGAAGAAGGAACAACATGAGGCTAAGAATAAAATCATAGTCTAACTGTGAACAGAAAATGATCATGTTCTAAAGCTAACAGTTTATCAAACGAACAAACTAAAGAATTCAGATACTGAACTGCACGATTATGACTCAAAAGTCTTGTAATCAAGTTGAGCCATGAATTGGACATCATTCTATACGTTATTGATGCACGTATAAAAAAAAGCATTGAAACATATGCATGTAACATACTTGTGTGTGGCGACACGTATGTCATTGAAGAAAAAGAATATCACCTATTCATGATAGGGGATCGAAATCAAATCATGTCGATAGACATAGATAACTTGTCAGAATTATTCATCGTTGAAACTTAATATAAAAAAGCTGGATTTTTTTCTTTTTCAGCAATTTATCTTCATTTTAACTGTGTGTCCGTTATATTCGTCTTGTTTATTATTTTTATCTGAGACAAACAGCGTTGGAGTAAGTAGAATTTTATTTCATGAAATCAGTTCAATAAAGTGATAAAAACATGTCTTCTATTTTCTATCATATCCAGACTTTCATACATAATATTTAAAGCGAGAACTCTAAACTTTTGATTAACATCATATATTATTTTTTTTTATAGATGTTTTCGAATATATGTGATAGGTAGCACAACAATGAATACATTCGCAGTTTTTTTTCCACTCTTTCTATTGTGCATTAGACGAGACTGAATTTAGATTTATATAAAATTCTTTACGTGAACTACATATATATTTTACTCGTGAGATAGAATATTCTATAATTCTTAGAAGAAAAATTAACTTATAATGAAATTATATGTACAATATGAACTATGCATTTTTCCAGTTTTAGCAAATATTTGTATGCGAAATCATCAGTTGTTTCGAACGAGTTTGCTGAGAGAAATATTGCTCGCAAGAACTTGATTCGTTCTATCAATAAAAAAAAACATATTAAAGTGAGATTATAGCGAACTGGAAATTTGATACGTGGTTCGTGATAAGATAGATAAAGAATGTAATTACTTCATATTTGACATCTGATGTTATTTGATGAGTTAAATGCCCACACTTATTGTCAATTTATCAGACGAGTTTTTCGCAAAAACAACAACGTCATCGATTGTTGATCAGAGAAAAAAAAGTTTACAAAACTGAGCCATAATTTCTTTTGTACTACTCACTATTTAGTCAAGCATGTTGTTTAGCAAATGTCGAAAATTGCGGTACTTGTTTTTTTCTCGAAATTTTATTTTCATGTCATCATTAATGACATCTACTTTACGGATCGTAGACAATGTCATTGAACCAATTACTAAATTTTGGAAGCTAACTTTAAGCTTTATACTACATTTAAATCAAGGTCTTGCTAAGACCAAATTTTCTATGACATCAATCTATTTCCTAAGCTTGTCGATTCACGTGTCTCACGTTGAGAAGATGCATCAGAGTTTCTCTGTAAGATCTTTCATACTAATATTTAATCCTTCGTACAGAATACAGAGATTATTGTATAAGGACTTCATTTAGATAATCGAGAGGATGTGAGTGTACGCTAGAGTATACGAATATAAGAGTGTATATGCAGTCGTTTCGATCTTGTCTGAAACTCATGTAACGTTCGTTCGAACAATAACAACAGACTGATTTTTTTGAATTAATGAAACAGAAACGAACCATAAAATTGGTAATGATTTTGAATCGTGAGGAAGTTACAAATAGTTGCGAAAGTACTATTACTTTTTATGTGAAAAGACAGGAATTTGTTATAGTTGTTCGATGTACAAAAGATGCATTCGATTAGAATAGTATTTCTAATAGTTATTAAAATAAAGTCTCAGTTTACTACTATAAAAAATATTAAAAAGAGATTTTCGAGTCACGTCAAATCTTTCTATCTTGAACAATATGTTTTTTAGATGTTCGATAAAATTTTTAGCTTTCTTAGCTAGTTTCTATCTAGGCGTTAAAATCTTTCAAACTATTTTTATCAGAACTATATTAGACTTTTACAAGAACAATTATCTGTGAAATAATCTTTCTCATAAACTGCGTATGGGAATTTATTGAAAGTTTAGAATCTTAAATAGAGCAAATTTGGTCGTGGTTGTCTAGTAGTGACTGTTGATAGCATTTTACAATGAATTTTATGTTTATTTTTGAGCTTATCTTTAGAACTATTGGGAATACTACGATAAAACAATGGCATCTACATCATCTTCAGACAATGCGTTAATCAATATCATCGTTGAAATATCTTCGAAAGGAAGTGAAAAGAAAATCAATCTAAACGATATTCCATTGTCAATCACAGTTGGTGAGTTGAAAAAACAATTAAAGGTACAACCAAATGCACGGTTTGGACGGTTAGACCAGTTTGAAAGTTGGGATAATCGACGAACATTGTCGGACTATTCTGTTAAAAATGGAGAATCATTCATGTGTGTTATACAATGCACCATAGAAGAGGGACAAAGTTCTTTCGATGATTATAATGAATGGTTATTGACT